CTCTCTCTCTCTCTCTCTCTCTCTCTCTCTCTCTCTCTCTCTCTCTCTCTCTCTCTCTCTCTCTCTCTCTCTCTCTCTCTCCTTCGTTCTCTCTCTCGCTCCCTCTTCCTCATTCCCTCCGCCTCTCTCTCCCTCCCTCCCTCCCTCCATCCCCTCTCTCCGCTCTCTTTCCCTCATTCACTCCCACCCTCTCTCTCATGCCCCCGCTCTCTCTCCCTCTATTTCTCTCTCTCACTCTCTCGCTCTGCCACCCGGCGATAGCGGTTCACCTGAAATTATACCCTGAATTGTTCCACATGGCCGCGCTGGGGTCATGATCAGGCCGACAGCCGACGCGTTTCACAGGGGCCAGGTAGGGGAGAGTGGGGTGGGTTGTATCAGTTTTTACTCCGAGACCCATAACCTCGTAACTATCCGTGATAAACTCATTATTTCCATACCATCCCCTTCCTTGATTCTTCTGCTTTTTTGTGCAAAGTAACTTTTCCGCTACCTCTACCAGTTTTTCTTCTACGGTCTCCCGAATAGAACAATGTTTTTGACACAACTTGCCCCATGGCTTGGGTGAGTTGTATCACATGGTGGGGTAATTTGTATCACTATTTCACGTTTCAAGGAGTGTGCTTGCTACTGGTTTTGAACATAACAATAACATTAAATGGGGTTAATACAATGTATAGGTATGCTCAAAGGCTTCACTTTATTGGACTAAACTTAGGTCAATGCAATCCGAACGAAACATCAACAGACTAGACGCAAAAGTGGTCCGTTAAGAGCAAAGAAGCCAATACATTGTGCCGAAATGGAACGAGCATTGACTAGCTACCTACAAACGCGAGCCAGGGCCTAGCTTTCGCGATCAAAAGCAGCATACCCATACATACATACATACATACATGTTACAACATACCCCACCCGGCTCTGATACAACATGTACCTAGCCGCCATCTTGGAAAAAACATCCTCGTGCTAAAAAACAGCGGACAGCTGGAGAAATCCGTTTTCACTCACGCAGCCTTAGAACCTACCCTCACCACCGCTACGGAGATCTTTCAAATTCGTGCACGTCTCAATGCCCAGAACACACATTTTCTTGCAACTTATTTTTTTAGAATGACATTAAAAAAACATAAAATCGGCTTTCACCTCGAGACGCGTCCACTCAGCCACAAGACAGAACAGGGAAAGATGGCGCCCGGAAAACCTCGTCGGCTGGTCGTGTCGCGAGCGCCATCCATTGGATAAGTTTGGCACAATTCGCCCTGATACAACTTGGACATGATACAACTCTCCCCGCTCTCCCCTAGATAAGGAGCTAGGTGTTTATTTTTGCCTTTTATCCTAGCATTTCATTGGGATAAACCGGACATGTGCTGATAAATAATTTACAAACGTCATTACAAGTTATGCGCCGATCGGCTGGGAGGGGATTTATCATCTGAATAAAATTGGTATCGGTGGCAAAGTGAGGTAGATTAGATACCCATACGAATTTTTATTGCGTTGCGGCTCAACGCTTAGAAAGCGGCAAATGGGGTAATAAATTTCATCAATGAATTCTCAATGCGCACGACTGTGCAATTGATGGTCTGTTTAGCTTCTCGTGAATAAATGTTGCTCCTGGTGATCGATTTTGGGCATTCATGGTTTGGGGCTACCTATATACCTAGATGAGGTACAACAAAACACTCTTTAACATACTTTCAAGCTTGTTGGATGCTTAGATAATGTAGGTACAATACAATAGTCTGTTTCAACGTTTTCAAGCATTGGTGCTTCTAGAACAACTACTTCGGTATGGTAAGGGTTTCAAGAAAACGTCCACCCATAAAAATTGTAAGAACATCTGTAAAATTGTACGTGTAAGCATTCGTTTCATTGTAATTTTCATCTACAGACAGTTAGAAGTGAATTGTGCGACTGTGCAAAACAAACTGAATGAGGCCTTCCCGATGTAGGGACACTTGAAATGGATGAGCGCGTCTAGGGGCTGGATCTTCTAATGGTCATTGAAACCTTTTTTAGCACGCACCGAACATGGTCATATACGAGTTTCGTTTCATACAAAAGTCAGTTTTGATCGATAAACAAAGAAGTGAAAACACTTTCAATTTTTTCATAGCGCGACTTGAGTTGTGGATGACAGCAGAATTCGACGCGCCTGTAGCTGTCGCGTCGTTTCGGAGATATTATTAGGACGAAAAAATAGAGGAGAAGCTGAGTATCCCCGCAAGACATGGATTCACAGCTTATCAACAAGGTCAAGGCTGATATCGTTCAGGCCTAAGAACTACCGAACGGATACCATGCCATTCACTTCTGAGGAGTTTGGTCAATTTGTTAGTCTGAGAACGGACAGTTCATTTGTGATTTTCTTGTCAGAGGCCTGAGAGTGATGACCCAAAGCCAGGCACAAGATAGAACCACCGTGTTTGAGCGTGATAAATGGATCTTTCCGTCACGAAACACTCCGCAGAGCAATGTTTCATTCACTGACAAGAGCCATCAACTGAGCCAACTTCAACCTTCTCGTCTTAAAGTTATGCAAGCAAGAAACATTTTAATTAAAACGGGCAAAGGCCTTGTGAACTCGTATGCAGCTTCAGAAACTCAATAGATAGCGATGTGATGCGCTCAGCTGCGTGGGCAACTTATCAAGTGGACAGTGGCTCAGACTGCTAATTGCGACCAAGAAGCATCTCAAAATGCGTACATACACCTTCCGAATTACGAATATACTATAAACATTTTTATAACATCTTTTTTAAAGTTAATATTTTATGAAATTTAATGTTAAACAGGTCGCAAGAGTAAAACCCATGGTGGCTTTTACCGAGACGGCTATTTGGTAGACATAATTATCGGAATATCTACCGTTTTTGTGCTTCTTTCATCTTGTCGGATTTCCTCACATCCTCGAAATGGAACTGCTGTGAAACTTTATGTGAGAAATATACCTAAATTCAAATCTCTCGCTTAATTTCCATGTCACACATTCATCACGCCCGTCGCTATTTATTCTGTCCAACTTATAAATGTACCAACAATATAACTGCCAGTCACAAAGGCTCAAACATAACAACAGGAATAACATACCTTCATACAGGACGACATCGGCATCACAGATACACTCTCGGAAGCACCGAGCTGCCGGACACCCTGCATCAAAAGCCCTGAACGGGACTCGCTGTACTCAGCGTCATCCCTCGGTAGCCCGCAGTCTCACGGCGGGCTGCTTCTGTAGACCAGCTACCTGCTGCCCCACCTGACGGACGCTCTGCTGACGGGTCGCCGCGCGCCCCAGCCGCGGGACCAGGCGTCGTGTCGGGGCGCCGGCGGGCGCGCGGGGCGCCACGGGTCGCCGTGCTCCTGTCGCGCGGCGCCCCAGCGGCGCACCGAGCGACTGTCGGAGAGCGGCGGCGCGTCCGGGTTGTACACGGAGAACTCGCGGTCCGGCTGGCTGAGGAAGCGCCGCCGCTCGTTGAAGTCGAGCCCGTCGTCTAGGTGGCCGGGATCCGTGCTGACCGTGCGGAGGCTCTCCATGCGGTCCGGGCCTCGGCTCGGGTCGGGCCGTGCCGTCCAGGGTCTCAGCAGTCTGCTTAGACCAGCTGGTAGAACGCTGAGGAGGTTGACCGGCGGCCGGCCGTGAGCCAGACAAACCAGCGAGGCGAGCGCGAGCAGACACAGACGCGTAGACGCCATGGCGGACCGGTCTCGGCGACTCGCCCAGACGAACTGGCGCTCGCCGGCCGCCGGCCGCCGCTCGAAAGTGAGAGGAGGGTTTTGTTGATGCCCTCCGGCCGCCGGACGTCACGTCAACAGCAGCGAACGGCGGCGACGGCGGCGGCGCTGCCGGCCGGCCCGGCGCGGCCGCAGACGTTTGGTTTCGCTGTACCGCCTTTGGTCATCGCCGATCAGGGTCGTGACGTCACCACTAAGGAAAGTGAGCGGGGTGGGCGGCGGCGACGACGACGACGGCGGCTAGACGGCCGGCTGTAAGGGCAGGAAGATTCACTGGGGCCGCTAGCGGTGCCGTGGGACCGCTGGAATACAGTCGGCGCAATACAGTCGACACGATAGGAAAATTAGCCCGAACCGAGTGAAATTGAACAGCGCGGGAAGCGGCTGGTGGGTGGAAAGTTCAGTCGCGTTTTTCGGTCACTTCCGGCGGAGATGCGATTGTGACACATAGCGGCGGGCCGGCAGGTGTGCGCGGACGGACAGATGGGTTTTGTTCGTTACCACGCGGAGCCGGACGAGACAGTGGATGGTTGCGTAATCACAGTACGGGCGCGCTGTCCTCTCTGGCACGGACAGCGCGGGCCTTCCTGTGGTGATGCAAGCATCGCATTATACCCACACTCACCTACGAACCTTCCAGGAACTATCGTCTGTTTGCCTACGGAGATGAAGAGCTTCAGGAATAAATCAATTTCATCCAGAGGATGCTTTCTCCTTGTTTCCTTGTTACATTTTTCTATTCAATTGCATTGAAAATGAGCATTTTTTTTACAGGACAAAATAAATAGAGAGCTAAGAAACAGGTCATAAGCTGGTCAATTGAGACAGATGAATGAGCCAGCTGACGTAGCCTTCTGTTTGGGCCAAGTTGGCCAAGCCTATTGGAGTGGAAATATAAATGCACCCTCATGAGAGTTAAATGGCAGTAATTGGGCTATTTGATGAGCAGTTAGCTTTACAAAGATGATTAGAGTGATGCATTCGGAGAGTTGGCATGGATGGATTGCAACCATTTGGTTTAAAATAAACTGGCAGACATCAAATAGATCGATGTGATTTCAGCCCATGGATTGATGTGTCAGATAGGCTGGCTATAGCTGAAAATGAATCATTCGTGATCCTCTTTACTTGAGGAAGTAGAAGCTGCTATTAAAAATGACGATATCTTATGAGGGCCGCTGCATACCTCTGACTGCACGTAACTGCACGTTTACCTCACCTAGCGTCGCCTAAACTCGCACAAACCCTTTCTGTTCTAGCCCCGGGCGCCGGTCTCAGCAAGAGCCAGCAGAACAAGGTGGTGTACGGCCGGCAGCCTCACAACATCACGGACCAGGACGACCTGTGCCCGCCACAGAAGGAGGTGGCCTGCCGCGAGTGTCCGCAGCTCGTCTACCCGGGCGTCGGCGGCTTCCCCGTCAGCTACGGCAGCCTGGTGCGCAACGTCACCCGCATCATCGGACTCACGCCCAAGGGACTCGGCAACAGGACCATGGGTGAGCTGTCGCCAGTATTTGTGGTATTCATCTGCATGTTGGATGATTCGTTAAAAAAACCCTCGATGACCTACTAAAGGTTCCGTTGCGTATGAAATTAAATGGGACTTAATTCACCGCACTGTCGATGTTTTTTTTGGACTGGGAGTGAGGGGCGCGTGGACAGCAAGGTGCAGAAGCACCGATTTCGAGCCATGGTGATGACTTGGTTGGTAACGCTCTAATGCTGGAAAAGTGGCATGTAGGTATGGACGATTGGGCAATGGACAGCGGACTTGTGTAGTGTGAACAGTTCGCGAGAAATACTTATTACAATTTGAAGTCTGAATATGCAAATAGGTACTTTCCAATTATGAGCAGCTTCGCTTTAATGTAAAACTTGCTAAGCTCGTTAGGCCCCAGTGAAACTAAGCAACAATGTATGCTTGTGAGGAACGATCCGCCTTGCATGCCTATATTACGCTCCTTGTTTGTGGGACCTGGAAAGGCTCGTGCCCAGCATGGGTATGAGCAATAACGAGACCGGCTATAAAAAGTGGCACTGTTTATGAGCGAGGACGATGGTTGTTGTCAGGCCTGAATCGAAAACATCTGATCTGCATAATCCGCGTAACGAGGTCGATAGTCTAAGCTGTGCGGAGTTCGACGCTGGGCATTGGGCTATAAGTTAGTTAGTTACTTGCACGGATTTCTGATAATAATGAGATGGCAATGAATATGCTAAGCAAAAGCATACATTATAAACTAACGTTGTCCGTTGATTATTTTACTCAATAATCATACAGCAGCTTTTAGGAATATCTGCACCGCATTTGATCAGTGCTTCCGGTGTGTATCGTTTAGCTATACGTTTTAAATTTGGCCGGTGTCGCACGAGGCAGCTCTGTCAAACCGACGTCGGTCCCACCGGGCGCCAGGAGCCGCCTGTTTGCAGAGCGGAGGCAGAGACGGAGGAAGGCTGCTCCTCCCTCTCCCTCTCCCTCCGCCGCCACGCGCTGACGTCACGTCACGACGCAGCGGAGCGTGACGCGTGACGTGTCTCTTGGCAGCGGGGTGCCAGCAGACACCCCGTTACCGGTGGCAAGGCTCGCACAATCTCCGCGTCAGGCACCTGCCTCACCGAGTAGCGGCGGTGACGAGTGACATGTGACAAACAAGCCATGCATCCTGGTGGCGAGTTTGGAATTCCCATAAACTGATTGTCAAAAAATGAAAGTAAACGTTACTTCTTATTTTTAGAAGTGGATGTTTTTGGTCTTGAAACGGGTTAAAAATTAAAAGCTCTTCCGGCATTGTCGATAAAATTCTGACCGGGCATTCTAGTGGCACTAAGTTCATTCACTATGAGACATGAGCATCCTTTTTTCCGATTCCAAGCAAGGTCATGCCTAAGCTAAACAATGTATTGGCCTGAAGGATCAGACAGCCGACTGACGCTCCTCCGTTCCGGCAGCCTGCGAGCTGTCAGCGGTCGGCAAACCCGTCTTCAATCGCGACTCGCGCGCGCGGTTCGGCGCCTGGATGAGCGACTCCGACCCGCCCACTCTGCCCGACGCCAACAAGTACTGGTACACCCACGAGCGGGACACGTTCAAACTCTTCGAGTACTCCAGCAAGGACAGCTTCGACCGCAAGATCGTTACCCGCAACATCACGCTGAGAAAACCGCACCAGGGTAATTCCCACGTCGTCTTCAACGGGTCCTTCTACTACCACGTCCGTGGTGAGCCGAACATCGTCCGCTTCAACCTGCGCTCCAGCCGGATCGAGAATACGCTGGAGCTGCCCGACCTGGCCAAGAACCGCAGTGTGACGCTGTACAACTCCACCTATACGTACGTCGACTTCGCCGTGGACGAGAACGGACTGTGGGTCGTCTACGCCCTGCCAAAGTGAGTGATCGTACAGGGAGCACAGGGAAGGTGGTTTAGGCAGCGGAGGAAATGTTTTATTGGGATGAGATATAGATAGTTTTAGGTACTAGGCATGAAATAAGCGGTCTAGGAAAATATTTGTTGCGCAAGGTTTTTAGGCGACTTTATTGTTGAATGACTTTAAACATAGAAAACAAAATGTTAGCTCATGGTGTCACTTGTGTTAGTTATGTGATATGTTACTCGTGCTTGAGCTCTGATCTGACCGGACCCTGTGTCTCTTCCCCCTCTCTCTCTCTCCTTCTATCCTTCTTCTCTCTCCCTCGCTCCCTCTTCTGCCGGCAGCAATAACCTGGGCGTGGTGAAGCTGAGCTCTGAGCTGGACGTCCTGCAGACTTGGAACATCTCCTTCCAGGGCGACAGCCACGCCAAGGACGGCGACACCATCATCGTGTGCGGCGTCCTCTACGGCATCAAGAGTCGCACCGAGAGCAACACAAAGTTCAGGTAGGAGCCGATCTTTGTGAGCATCGCCGCCGGATTGGATAGGCTGGATTCTTGGAAGATGTCTCTGTATAGGCAAAGTTCAGGTGGCTTTACTGATAGACGGTTTGCAGGTGGTTGATTGAATTTTCATTCATTCATATTATACGGTTATCACTTGATTTGGAAATTAATCGTTCATCGTTAATCCTGCAACATTTTGTGCGTGTGCCGAGATAGAAATGAAGTATTTTTCCGGATTTATTTTGTGAGTTCCGTTTTTCACGTTGAGTACTGTGCAGTCGTTCACTCTGACATATGTAATTGACATCGTGCTTTTCATCCCCCAGTCTCGCTCTGGACCTGTATACACAACAATCTCTACCATACAGCGGATTGACGTACACAAATCCATTCCGACAAACCACTATGGTCGGATACAATCCACGTAATAAGGTGAGAACGAATGAAAGAATGTACCCGTCGAACCCATATCTACATATAGGTTCTGTTTTGATTTAGAGACCAAGTTATAACAGCCAAACTGAAAAAAAAAAATCGTTTTTAAGTCAGAGGACGTTTACTTTTATCCTTTTGTTTGTGTACCTGCCGTCGAGATTAAATGTTTATATTTCAAAATACGTCTGATTTGACAGGCACATCAAATGCTGTTTGTTTAAACGCGTCGTGGCTGTTTGTTTGGAATCTGAACCTTCACCAGTTTTGAATGTTGCCACGGCATAATCACTACACAGTTTCATTTTCACCCAATAAAAGTCAACAGATGGGCATTAACACTAACCCAGCCGATCATTGTCCGCATGATGCCTCTTCTAAGGACCGAGAGGTCCCTGCTGGTTACATATCCCACCAGTGACGCGTCTCCGCTCTGTCCCCACAGGAGATCTTCTCTTGGGATAAGGGTAACCAGCTGACCTACCCGGTCAAATACAACGCGCTGGACGACGACACCTCGGACAATGAGCCGAGCATAGAGGCGCTCATGAACTCACCCGACCACGTCATCAGCGAACCGGAGGAAGACCTCTGAGAGACGCCCGTTCACTGCCGACGGGGCGAAACCGTCGGGTCAGCGCTGACCGACGCTAGGTCACCGGCGACGGGGAAATACCGTCTGGTGATCGCTGATGGAGACTGCAGTGTTAAGGTTACCGCCCAGGCAGGCGGGAATATTGGAGAAGCTGTCAACACCAGTCAATGATGTTCGAATGCTGCTTGCAATGAGAAGCTACAGCGGGAAAACGTAGAAATGGTTGTTCACCTAGGGCTGAACGATGATATGTGATGACGAGCCATGAATCGGCTTATAGCCTGCGTGACATCCTTATTGTAATACCACATGTCACAGGTGGCTAAACGTTTAACGCATAAAATAAACGGTCAACAGTATCGCACCTGTGGGGAAATGTTGCCGGACGATGCTTGTTGTACGTTTCGTCTGATATACCATTGAGCTCCGGTTGACAAAAAAAAAAAAAAAACGAAGTTATGGCCGTTCTAGTAAGCTTTGGGCAGTGTTTTGGTCTGTGATGTTGTCAGAGCAATGCTCACCATGACATTCGCGACTTGGGAGGTTGCGGAACGCAAATATTTCACCGCAGCTGGGATCAGAAGATGCTGATCTGACAACCGGCTGATACGATGATCGATGTTGTGCTGCATCCCTCCTTCGCAAAACTATCGGAAGATCGATGTAAAAACTGCGACAGAGATAGGTCCTATCACAATGACTAATGATCGTGGAAGTGTGAATGGCGAGAGGAACGAATACTCTACCGTGTGTTTTATATGTTTGTATATGTTAGATTTGTCGAGTCGGTCGAGTCGCTTGACAACAGTAATTGACATGTGCCCCATATCAAACGTGAAGTTCTACTAATGTCACTAGCTTCCCATTTCCCCACTGATAGTGACAACATTTAACCGAATTAATAAACGAAACAGCTTAATTCGTGTCTTTGGTCATCTGCGATTTAAAAAAAAAAATAGTCCGAACCTTTTTAATGGAAGGATTCACAAGACCAGAGCCCCCGCTAAGCGAAGCTTGTTGCGCTGGCCCTGCCCTCTACCCTCCGATCACGCAATTCCGGTTCTATGGACTATGGTACAATATGGAGTCCAAAGTGTAACGTGCGCACATAGCCGCGCACGGCCGGTCCCCTCACTGAATTCGCCTGGCTACGGCCTGCCACCAACCGCAACCATGCCTGTCAGGAGGCACATAAACGTAAAGCGCCCGTCGCGCTTTGTTTTGTTTGTTTTGTTGGGTTAGGCCCTTTCGGTCTGACAAGTAACAAGACCATTGCAGAGCCGGGAGGATGATAGGAATTAGGGGGAGAAATTGGTCTGGGCAGACACCCTAGAGAGTCGCCGGGGCTGAGCCCGTCTGAATGGACAGGCCGACCAGCCCCCCCCCCCCCCCCCCAAGCACTCTCTGCACCCGGCTACGGGGTGTGCTCCCTCGGGAGCAGCGGTGCCGCTCCAAGGGAGCAGCCCGCATGAGATAAAGATGCCTGTCCAGCCCGGAGTGGGGTTGCGGCGTGGAGGAGAAGGATTTCTGTATCCTGAGGATAGAAGCACGGAACGGTGCCCCGTCGCGCTTCGAACCCGGACTGTTATAACCGAGAACGCGTGCTCTCACCACGCGGAGTCCAACGCTCTGCCGACTGAGCTACGGGACCGGCTAATAACATCCAAAAACACTGTTTTACAAAAACTATTCGTGAAAGACCGAAGGAGACTCAATCGACCCGTTAATAAATACGTAGCAACTTGAGTTTCGCGATCATCTGGCATTGCACGTCTTACTTCTGCAAGATTCTAATAAATATCCCGGCAGTTGCTGGGGTATTTCGCCACCCGCCGTTTGCTGGGGGGGGGGGGGGGCGTTAAACGCCCCCAGCCGATAACTCGAGAACCAATAGGCGCAGCGAAACGCACGAGGCGGCAAACGAAAGAGCGCGACGAGACGCTTCAGATGAGTATTTTAAAGTTGAATTTTGAGGTCACATGTCGGGTCAAGGTCAGGTCAAACACCTGAAATCGGGCTTTCAGTAGCATGGACTTCAGGACTTCGCAATGGGCGCCTCTCGCCATAAACTCTGTCAAAACGGTGCACAATCCATCTTATAAGGCCTACAAGAGTGTCAGCCCCATATAGGGGTCAGTCAAGCATAGGTCAGGGTCAAGGTCAGGTCAACCGGGTAGGCACATATCCCCGAAAATCAAAACTGATAATCGCAGCCTGTCACACATGTGTTATAGGTAATTTGGGGCGTAGAACACGATGGTGACATTCATTCTATCATATGTGTACGTGTTTGGCTCAAAAAGTTCAATTTCAGAAATTCATGTATCATGGTCACGAAAAATTGCCAAGATTCAGTTCAAGATTTTGGAAAATGCGGAACGATAATCAATAATTGAAGATAGCCATTTGATTGATCATGGTATTGGCAGTCTAATGGCGTTTACGGCATGTCTGTATGTCTATTCTGTGATTTTATATGATTTTTTGAACATATGCCATTTTTCGTCGAAAAATCAGAAATCATGACGTCACTAAAACCTCGATATCTCAAAAATTTTCCGACCGATTTTTTTGAAACTTTGTCCACGCCGACTCAGTGCGCACGCCGACTCAGTGCGCAGCAGATGCGTTCGCGCTCTGTCAACGCTGAAAGCGGCCTACAGCAGGGGAGTTGACTTGAGACGGATCAGTCATCTCTATCGCTCGCTTGTCCTCTCTCGAATCACCTACGGACTCGAGATCATCAATCCGCTGAAGACAACGATGGACAAGCTCGAGCGGATCCAGAACAGCGCTCTCCGACTCGCCACCGGGTGCCCCAGACAGACGCCGGTCACTGCGCTAAGGTACATGTTTGACCTGCCCTCCATCGTCGACCTACACGAAGTCCTACGAGCCAGAGCGGTGTGCATCGTCGCCTCCGACTGCGGCCATCCCTTGCACGACTTCGTCGACCAAGCCCTGGCACGCGCTCCACTGGCACGTCTGCAGCGCACGGGCTGGCTGCGCGATGGGACCAAAGCTCTGCGCGGTCTCTGCGGTCGGCACAAGATCCGCAGATCTCACCTGTGGTCTGCGACGCCTCCCGCCACCAGATGCCGATGGACCTTCAAGATCGACCTCTTCAGCCGCACCGACCGTGAGCTACCACCACACGTAGTGAACGCCATGTTTGAGGAGGTCCTGGCCGACACCAGCAGTGAGCTCCCACAGCCCCTCGTCGTCCTGGCCACTGACGGTTCTGTCACCACAAGCACCCCAAGATCGGGATGGGGGTGTGTGATGAGGGAGTCAGACGGCAGCCTGCAGACCCACCGTGGAGGCTGTAACCTTCGCCTCTCTAGCATGAGGGCTGAGCTGGAGGCCATCTTCCGCGGTCTGGATCTTGCCAGAAGCGCCCACCCTGATCTAGCCGCGTGCATCATCTGCACCGACTCTCAGTCTCTCCTGCGCAAACTAGAGAGCGGATCGGCTCCTCCGGAGTGGCACGACCTCCCTCAACAAGTCGTCTGGGTATACTGCCCAGGGCACGCCGGAGTCCAACTGAACGACAGAGCCGATCACCTGGCTGGCAGCGGTTCTGCTTCCGACTACCTGGAGCTCGGGACGCAGGACATCCAACTCATCATACGGGATCGACAGCTGAGCAGCCGCGACGACGGGTCGTGGGAGGAGAGGAGGATGAGCGAGAGAGGCCTGCAGCGGGGTTGGGCGGCGAAATCCACCTCCCGTGGCCGCGCTGCCCACACGATGTGCCAGCTGGCCACTGGTACTCTCTCCCGAGCGGCGCTGACCAGGGTGTTCCAGCTGGGAGGAGCAGAGGCTGCTTGGGGCCAACTATTGGGCCTCCGCCGGCTAACGACGCTGCCGCTCGACCAGTAAGACCAGTAAGTAAGTGTCATAATAAACTTCAATTAATTTTCTACAGGTACCCAAAATTTGGCGCGCCTGCGGCGCGCCGTTTTTATGCTATGGCCCGGCGAAAAAAGTGGGGCGTTTAACGCCCCCCCCCCCCCCCAGCAACTCGCGGGATATCGCTAGCTTTCGCGGCTTCACCGCTAAATGCTGCCTAATCAACATTCGTATACTCTGACGGTAGGGGTGGGGTGGGCTATTCTCGCCAAATTCTCGCGGCATTGCTACGTCATCGCGTTATTAGGTATTATTCCCGATTCCATCTCATTCGGTGAGCTAAGGCTTTGCAAAGCGGTCATGTTTTCAGGTTTTTCTCCACGAGAGCCAGTTTTTATTCAATATTCATGTATCAATATAAGTTCATATGTTTACATATAAAACGAATTTATGCAAATTTGATAAAGAGTCCGCGGTGCTTTGCATCTGAATAAAAATAGAGAATTCCCTTTACTTTTGTAGGTATTTCCTTCATTCAGATTTGGAAGCGATAGATGATGCTTTTATGGCGCAGATGGTTCATGGAGTGGCTTATTGCATTTTGCGGACATGCCTAAGAGCTGGACTTTTTGCACGCGTTCCCCGCCAGGGGGCGCCACTGAGGAAGCACCCTCTGACGTCACGATAAAACTGCGCGCACTGTGCGCACGGTTCTGTAAGCAAGTAATATAGTGGTGGTTTCATGGTGGAAATTGGAATAAGTATTTTGACGTTGTAAAATTTCAAGCCGTTTTTGTGAAATTATTTAGTAAATGCATTTCAAAAGCAAAGTGTGAAAGGAGAATGATTAGAAGAACATGGATATTTTTGTTCCAATAGCTTATTATGTGAGACATGATCGGTACTAACGGGTACTTCTAAGAAATAGTGAAGAAGTACCAAACAGCCTGCTCGGCCACGATCGTCAGCTGTCCTTTGGAGCTGGACTTCAACGCTGTAAAAAAAATGTGTGCTGAATTAATTTTTAGTTTCACCAAAATATAAGCAATGTATCATTTCCTTTTCACTTTTGTAATTTTTGTCGAGTGAAGAGACATGTTGCTAGTTCTGACAATATAAATTATTAATTAAAAAAACGAAATGCGACGGTAAGTATCTGCTACTAAATTATCACTTTTACCAAATACATGGAGAATCTTGCTACCATTGCTTATAAAACCTTCTTATCAATACACAAATGTTTTATTTTAGACAAGAAGGATTTATTTGCCTAAAGTCTTGCGTCATGTGCTACTGCTTTGATTCCAAAGACGCTCTCCGGGTCGGGGTAATTTAGTTCTTCATCGATCGATAAGAGATTTTGATTCCATTGATATCCAAATTGATAAGCTCGGCACCATGGAGTAAGGGCGTCCCCACAGGGGTGACGCAGGAAATATGAATGGCGTTTACACCGACAGTAGTTTCCCACAGCCGGCAATGGGAATCTCCTGTCGGTGTAAACGCCACTATAGTCCCATCCAACTCAAACACTGGGGAATATCCCCGCACTTTTGAGGACGGAAATCTATGGACCTGCTCGAAAAATAGTGGATAAAATACGGCGAGCTTTCAGTTTTATGGTTGGGTCTCCCTTCCGAGGCACATATTTACGGGGGATATTGGGTCATATTCCCCCGGCGTCCTGATGATCGGCGCCCAGCTCAACGTCGAAGGCGCCCTGATACGCGGCGCTGCTATCTGTGAAGGTGCCCAGGCTGTTGCCGCTCGAATTTTGGTCGCCTACTTAACAAAACCTCCGTTGGTGCCATCTCAGTTTCCTCGAGGTCAGGCAACCTTCACACGCCGTTGGCTACCTTGGCTGGCCGGCGACTCGTTCCCCTCGTGGCGACGCTCTTGACATCCAGTCAAAAGTTGGAGTGGATGGCGCCCCCAGTGGGGGCCGGGGAAGGGGCAGTGGGCCTCCACGTTGCTCTCTTCCCGAGCCTATGGTGACTTGGCTCAACTCTCCTCAATAGAATCTGGATTCTGCACGCTGTATTAACATGGGCGTAGACACCACTACGGACAATACGGACAGTGGGTGTGACAATCAGTAGTGCCATTCATATAGAGGGTGTCATATATGAGCGGAGAGGCAACAGTACAGCTGAGCGGAGAGACAACATTAAAACAACAGTACAGCTGGCGTTGCATGGAGCTGCAGGCAACCGGACAGCGGAGGCTTGCGAAAAATAAACAATTCGTCACTTCAACGTATAAACAATAGTAAAAGCAACATAAACACATATTCTCATGGTCGAACCCATGCACTAGCGGCTCACGGCGGGCACAGGCACGCAGTGCGGTAGCGGTACCGGATCACACGTCATGGGCGTTGTCTCAGCATAGGTTGTTATGAGCGGAGAGGCAACAGTACAGCTGAGCGGAGAGACAACATTAAAACAACAGTACAGCTGGCGTTGCATGGAGCTGCAGGCAACCGGACAGCGGAGGCTTGCGAAAAATAAACAATTCGTCACTTCAACGTATAAACAATAGTAAAAGCAACATAAACACATATTCTCATGGTCGAACCCATGCACTAGCGGCTCACGGCGGGCACAGGCACGCAGTGCGGTAGCGGTACCGGATCACACGTCATGGGCGTTGTCTCAGCATAGGTTGTTCGCAATCTAGTTGAAGCCTAAGAAGACGGCCAGTGGGGTCTCACTGCTGCTGAGGCGACCTCGGAGACGATGCGTCGCCCCTCCTGTCGGCGACCTGCGGTGAGCAGGACTCCAGATAGCTGGCTGGCACGTTGCCGACACTGCCAGACGCTGTCAGCAGGCCTCACTGCTGCAAGTGATGTGCAGATGGACGCCAGGTGACTTCGTCTGCAGGCGATTCCGGAGACCGCGGCCTCAGCAGGCAGTACCACCTGCATCGCCATGTCGGTGTTTCTAGAAATGGAAAAATAACAGTATTGGTGAAGGACAAGCAATACAATGCATTCTGTTTTCCTCTCTTGCAGGTATACGTAATCTACAATTATCATTGTTCCTATTTCATTCAACTGAACCTGAAAATTCCATATTGGCACATTGTTTGACTAAATTTGTGTAGTTGGGAACAGGGGCGACGCCACGTTGCGACGACTGGAGGGGACATTGACCATTTTGGAGGGGACGAGGACCATTTCAAGTCGATTCTTTCCATGCAACGCCATAGGCGTAATGCTAAAATTTTAAAAAGTGGAGGGGACGAGATCCCCTCCGTCCCCCCACCCTGTGGCGACGCCCTTGGTTGGGAAGCAGATTGTTTGAAATACATGTTTGGCTGAACAGTGCGGAAAACATTTCATTGATCACTATAGCTGCAATAAAAATACTGAGACAGAAAACATTTGCGCTTACCTGACTCCTTAGTCAGCCCCACACATCGGAAGTGGTACCATTTATCGCAGCCGTCGCATCCGACCATCGGTGCTGCACTGATGCTGCTGCACTCCCCACATTCCCAGTAGGTACCTTAGGAGCGTCTTGGCTGTGAAAAGATTACATGAGTCATGGCGCATACATGAATAGTAAGATGTTTTATATGTTTAACATCGCATAGCAAAGACACAACAGCTGGGAGTCAAGTGTAAGCCAAAGTGTAAGCCCTGCCATGTTTTGCAGACTGGATTTTAAGCAAGAAAAGCTTTGCTAAAAATGACGCTTGACGAAGCCTCATCCTACTGGGCTGTCTGACATGTCTCCCTGTAAAAAGCATGTGGCCCTTATATTGTATATATGATGAATATGTTAATAATGCAGAGAAAACACAGTATAAATTATACCCAACGTTTCATCTTAACCGACTTTGTCAAGGGTGTTTGAACAGCTTGAGATGAGTGAAGTGTAAGGGTACCTAGGTACATCTGAAAATAAACTGAATCTGCGTTCAATAAACATTGATTTTGATAATACATTTCACAAATCAACTGCTAATAACAATCATACTAAAATAGCACGACAGATAACTAACAATCGCATGAAGAACTTCTTGATTCGCCTTGACATTGTCGTCCGAACGAATTTGTCTGAAGTTACACATTTGTCTTTTCTGCGCAGCATTTGTGTTTGCCATTTACCGCACCAAATGTTCGCCAGCGGTGGTGACTTTTCCTTACCTGCTCACGAAACGTCACACACGACATGACGTCACCCGAAGACGTCATCAAAAAGTCCAGCTCTTAGGCGTGTCCCATTTTGCATGATACATTTCAATTTCGCAAGCAATTTTGGTCCCAATTTTGCACAATTTATAAGGAACAATTGCTAAAATTCATATTTAAGATATATTAATATTTGTTCATTTACGATGTCTAAGGCTGTGGCCAACAAAGGTTCTCGCTGGGCGCTGGATTTTACTGTAAAAGGAAGGAATTCAGATTTGCCAGCTCCTCCAGGCTACAGCCTGTCTGTGAACCAGTCATCAGAAGTGAACAAGGCAAATGATGCTAGTCTTGTGATAAAAAGAGCATGGGATCTTGCGCTCTCTCCTCTGAAACAGGTACAGAGCCCCGAGCCTGAACTTATTAACTTGCAAATTCTTTGTCAGCATTGATGTTGTGAGCTCTGCTCTTCGACATTCAGTGTCGGTGTCATTGGATAAGTACCTTGTTCCAATTTCCAGGCGGCTGTTAAGGAGCATTTACATCAGCACAATTGTGTTTTCCATTTTTTGAAACTACTTTGCTCATGATACTTGGCCTACCATTCTTGGGCATTACAGTCCTCGTACCTCAACTACAAATGTGGGCATTAGTAGAGCAGACATCACACAAAGGTTTTCCAACCAAGGAGAGGCGCTGTAGGTTGTAGGGTAGGTTTGTAGGTTTATAGGTTGTAGGTTGTAGGTTGTAGGCTGTAGGTTAGGCTAGGTCAGGTTAGGTTAGGTTTGTTTAGGTTTTGTTAGAAAGAAGTACCTCCAGGCATAGCGCCTCTCCTTGGTTGGACAACCTTCGTGTGACGTCTGCTCTACTAATACCCAAATGTGTATGCAATCCAGTCACCCTCATTGTCCTGGCTGCCCATGCCTTTGTGTTAACCATGTCAATTGTCGATATAGTGACAGTGGTTGCTGAGCAGCACTCATGTTTGATGTACACAGACTTAAAAATTTAGCATGCATATGTTTTAAGAGTCTTATAGTATGGATATGGCATCTATCAATGCAAAGCAGAGTTAGAAAAGGTGCTACCTGTCTGATGAAAGGACAGCTTTCAGTTACCTACCTTATTGATATCTCATTTACAATATCACTAAAATTACTAGTTTTCAAATGAGGCTTATATTTTTACCATTATGAAAGGATGGTGTAGATGAATTCATACCCATTTGATTTATTATTCACAAAGGGCATTTTGTCAAACATTGCTCAAAACATGAGCTGGATTGTATTATGTCATTCATCAACCTTGTAGATAGTGCAAATTAAGAGATTCAATGTTCTTGCATACAATTTTTATTTTTCTGCTGTATACCAGATCCTGTCGCGTACACGCAAAAGCAATTTTGTTTCAAATTGTTTGAGGTAGGTGCACCTACATTCCCACAATGTATTTCGGTGACGTCTGTCCATTTTTTTTCGGCAGATCCCGATGAACTTGTTCATCATGTACATGGCCGGCGACTCCATCTCCATCTTCCCGATCATGATGATCGGCATGATGCTGCTGCGCACCGTGAAGGCGCTCTTCTCGATCCAGCAGACATTCAAGATGATCGAGGGCGACCACGCCATTCTGCAGCGACTTGTCTACTTGATCGGCATCCTGGCCGGTATCGCGCTGGCGCTGTACAAGTGCCACTCGATGGGTCTGCTCCCCACCCACGCCTCCGACTGGCTGGCCTTTGTCGAGCCGCAGCAGCGCGTCGAATATGCCTTCGGAGGGGTGCGGATGTGAGACGGACGCGAGGAGTGAGGCGGGGTGTAAGAGTGTCGGGTGCGAAGTTGAATCTGGGGGGGGGGGGGTCAGGCTGGGTAACTATACTGAGGTCGTGACCAGTTTGGTGCATGTGATGTATGGTATGCATGGTATGTGACACGTGTAATTCGTTCGGGCACCAGTGCTGCCCATGGGATGGGATATTATTATTTACATAATGCGAAGAGTGTGCATTGTATCTCGTTTTGTCATTGTTTGTCGTTTCATGTGTTGTGTGGGATCATTGATCGTGGTAACTCTGTCTCTTACCAGATACCATCATGGGCACATTGAAAAAATTAGCGTCACCACAACCAAAGCACGTTCAGTGTGTATGCTTCGCATGAGGCAGTGGAGCAGGGCAATGAGGTGATGGAACTAGATGCCCTGCAATGAAGCCACGTTTGTCCAAGCGGCGTTCTGCCAATAAAAACTAAACGTATACCTACTAATCTTCGGAATCATAATGAATAGCGATTAGTGACGTCGACGCGATGCGACAGAGAACGTTCAAAAGAAAAGAATACAAACAAATGGAAAACTTGTGCGACGCACTCCATATCGTTTTGCCCAGCTGGCGCCAAGTGGATGAAGCTAGGTCACTAGGTCATCGGAGGCTGAAGTAAGCCCCACTTACATTCCCAGCAAACATGCCCACATGGGTCCCATATCGGGTGAACATGGGCCAGATGGGCCCACGTGGGACATGGGCTACAGATGGGCTACCCATATGGGCCCCATATGGGATAAAAATGGGCCAGGTGGGCCAAAGGCATGTGGGCTGGAGATGGGCATCCCATGTGGGTCCCATATGGATCACCCATGTTTGCCCCATTTAAGTTACTCCAAGTGCATAAAAGCAAAAAAGGTGGCTGTTGTTCATGTGTATTTTGGACTCCAAGTAGGTATATCAAAATTCAAATTCATACATGATGCCATATGGGGTCAATGTAGGCTGGCCCATATGGGTTCCATGTGGGTGCCGCGTGGGTCCCATATGGGGCCTACGTGGGCTGGCCCATATGGGTCCCACGTGTCACCCACTGCCATTCCCATGTGGGGCCCATATGGAAGACGTGGGGGGCCCATGTGGGCCCCATATGGGAACCATGTGGGCATGTTTGCTGGGTTGGGGCGCCAACTTGAAGCTCTCGGACAGGGTGAGGCCCTTTAGGCCGATAGGGAAGGAGCTCTCGAGCGTGTACTATTGTATGAAACACGGGTAATGCACGCGGCCCCCAGACCGGCTTGGACTCATGGGCGCGGGAACCGGGGGGGGGGGGGGCAGTGGGGGCAGCTTGCCCCCCCCCCCCCAACTCTAGGGCCGGTGCCCCCACAACTTTGAGACGGAATACCGCGCACTTTTTTTGCCAATGTTTTCTTTTTGGTTGAAAAAGCCAAAGGATGAAAAACAAGTGGCCTAAAACCGACGAGAGAACTAAATTTGGGGGTACCCTAGGTTGATCTCTCATGGTGTGCCTCCCAAGTCTTGAAGTAGTTCCCGCGCCCCTGTGGACTCTCCTCTCTCACATTAACCAGAAGAGTCAAATGATGAGGCGTGAGAACCGAGCAGTTGGTCTGCCATACGCAGTACGCACCAATGTTCCATCGTATCCATCGTGCCACAAATCACAATCAAAATAGACATCTGTCCAGCATGCGACTAAACTAATTCAGCATTTTTATCCGTTATCTGACTTGGTTATTGGCATTGCAAGAGTTCGAGCCGGTGTAAACAACATGTTTCCGTATAGCACTTGAAGTACCAAATGAATACATATTATTTTTAGCAGCTCTGTCCGTCGCACATCAAGATCTATTTTCGACATGTCTGACGCATTAAAGACAAACTATTTGTGATCACTTGCAGGAAAGGCTCGGAACCTTTCCGAAGCAGTCTCAAATACACCAATGAACGAGAAAATTTTGAAAGAAAACGTCATTTTCTATGGCTCATGTTGAATCACCCAAGGCCCTAAATACACCGAATCACCGAAGAGGTTTTTAACGTCAAGGAGTGTGAGCGCCAACTGGTAGGTATGAGAAACATTATTGCTGTGCAGGGTCGGCGGCCACTTAGGTAAATCCGTAATGCTTCAGCCCTATTATTTCTGAAAAGATATATGGTGAGAATCGCTGATCGTGTAATTTAGTCATAAAATGTCTAAATTACGGGTAGTTCAAACTTCAAGTTGTAAAGCAGGCGTCATGCTTGTTTTTTGCAACCAGGGAGAGGCGGTTGTACAACCACTCAACTTGAACTTAAAAAATATTTGATTTACCATTGCCTGCAATCTCCTAAAGCATTGCCTTCGGCACTGCGCTGCTTCACAACAAGCAATTTGACGTTACTTTCTTCACATGAATAGTATCTGAAATATGTATTCACTTGTTTTTGGAGTGCAGTCACGTAGTGCATGGTTGGTGCAATACACAGTCGGTGGAGGGGTATGGCGCTCAGCGGCGACAGCAAATATTATATTGGAGCATTTAGAGTTTAGACTTGTTTTTGGCATGAATAACTATCAGATATGAAATCAGAAATTGTGGGGTGATATGCTTTTTACTATAACATGAGGTTTGCTTGAAAAGGAAAGGCTGTCGGTCTTAAAGTAAATAAATACCTCTGGCCCTAGCACAGTTCAGTGTTATTTTTTATACATCTAATTATGCTACCAGTCTTCTGATATATGAAAATTCATTGCTTAAGTTTCTCGCCTTTTCCTTGGTGAACCACACACCAGGTACCTAAATTTGTTCAATCAGAGGCCAAAAACTCCAGCAAGCTGGCAGCCTGCTGAAAAAGTGGTGAATGGACAAAGCCTCTGACAAGTGACATGGAGCTGTAATTCAGCTACAGTGCAGAGAGAAGAGACAGCTCAATTCTTCCATGCAAAGACAAAAAGGATTACATTAGAAATGTCAAGGTCAGAGGCCATTATGTCAGGCCAGAGGTCATATATAATACTGAACGAGGCCGGTGTAAATAAATTTTCAAGACCGAGGTCCTTACTGAATTTTTGAACGAGGCCGAAGGCCGAGTTCAAAAATCAGTAAGGACTGAGGTCTTGAAAATTTATCACCGGCCGAGTTTGGTATGTATTTTACTGTATGCCAACAATAAATTTATTTTCTGCTGGACCGAAGCTCTTAGCCGACTTAGGAACGAGACCATCCCAAAATGTTGGCTTAAGTGCATTCTGGTAATGCATTTTTGACCGTGGTCAATTTGCTTACACCAGTTATTACCACACCCCTCTGGCTAATGTATTTGAATAGGCCAGGCATACAGTAATTCAAAAAATATCATTGTTGCCTTTGCATGACAGATTTGTGAAGCTCATGCACTTTGCCACCAGGCACCAGAATATTGTCATTTGGCTTATCCACATCCCCTGGTGGTAGCTTGATGAATATATCTTACAAAATCCAGCAGTATTGCATCTCCATTCCTTATTAACCTCTCAAAAGTAGTTAATCTTCACATGCAGTAGACCTGACTTAGAGTTGATAATCCTATTAAGCATGTGAAACTGCTGTGTAATTTTTCTCAAGTGTTCTTTCCCACCAAAGCATTAAAAGTCTCAATTCATACAACTGATATTGTGAAAATGACAATGTTTTGGTTTCAGCACTTGTTACTCACTTACTGACATTGGCTCTGTAACCACACTCTTCAGCAGGTGTATTGGAACTACTGCAGGCTGTCATAGAATCAAACAGACATGGCTGATTCATCAAAGACAAAAGAAAAGGTGAGTAACACACAAAGGTGAGTTACTTTGAAATAATTTATGAGCATAGGTAATGATTGGTATTGTTTACTTGTCAAGCAGCAAGTGGTGTAGGTTTCATAGCATAATATGTGTGTACAATCTAGATAAAGCAACAATACAAAAGTCTTGCTTATCACTTATCTTTGTGCTAGTGTTGTGTTGTATGACTGCTGGCATTGAACATTTGACTACTTTTGGTGGAAAGATTATGGCAATGATCATTGTTATAGCCAGCCATAGTATATAGCCAGGTAGTTGCAAAGGTATTTCCTGAGATGTTGGATAGGCAACTTACTTGTCTTCTTGTCATCTAAAGATTGAATGATCTTTCTCCCCTTCTGCTTATTATAGAGACATAGTTAATTGTAGCATGTGTCTGTTTTGCAGAAAGGAGACATCCCCATGCCACCAATGTCTTGCATTGTGTGCATCTACACTCTGGGCTTCATGGTAAGTAAAATATGTAGTGTGCTTGAATACCTAGATAGTACCTACTTATGTTACCCATAAGATGAACCACTGCCATGTGTGATCGTGAACTGTTTTGACTCATTTAGGTATGCGTTTGGAATGAAATTAACTAAAAAAGAATGGTTATTTGTTTGGAAAAGGTGAGGCAGATTATTTCCAGCTGGTATCTTTTGAATGGCTTACTCTGATGTAGAAATAATTTTTTCTTTATTCATAAGAAAATCATAGATACCTACAAAGACAGATTTATCTGTACCTACTAACTGCCTAGCCGGTACTGTATTGGCGTAGCGTTACCCAGGTGCCCCGATCGTAACACATCGAGACGGTAGCGGGGTGCATTGTCGCGTGCTCTGTAACGGGGTTCCTGAGCCGCGTAAGCGACAAGCGGTAAGCGACGTTCGAAGATCATACAACATAATTTAGGAAGCACAGAGTCTTGCTCAGGACAAATGTCGGGTACCCTGACACCATCGTACGTAAAATGTTACCGATTTGGACGTTTTCGTTGGGACGAATCGCCTCGTAGGTAAAACAAAGTGAGAGGCCGACCATATTGAGGAACAATCTTGAAATGCTCGTATAAGATGTTTCTGGAACAGGTTCTTAGCTTCTCAGATTTGACTTCAGGCCAACGGTTCGTATGTATTGATCCTCAGGACCACAGAGCAATGATACATGTTGATCGAATCGATATTGATTTCAGTGTGTCCATTCAGTGTGTCCAGTTGAAGGAAATGCGATGATGGTAAAAACGAGAATCATAGATAGAAAACGAGAAAACGAAAACGCTATAGTAAAAAGCGACACCTGCTAACTTCGACCTTTTAAGGTACTTTTCTTAGCCTATGTTGGTCAAACGGTTGATCTAGGTCCGATCTGTCAGTTACGTGAAAGCTAAAAAAAACTTCTTCCTTCTAGCCCCTTTAGTTCAAGAATACTGAATAGTGGAATGGTAAGTCGAATATTAGGCCTCAGTCGATAAGTCGCAGAAATCAACCTTTGGTTATCATTGGAAATATAAATTTTTACCTGGTAAAAAGTGGCTTAATTGATCTCAATTGGCCTTCTTTTATATTTGAAAATTGCACGTGGCAGATGTTCTTAACTTCCTAGCTGACAGCCCGCCGTCCCGCAGGACCTGTTTGCCATCAGTCTGATCCTGCCGCTGCTGCTCTCGCACGGGGAGCAGCTGGGCGCCTCGCCGATGATGAACGGCCTGGTGGGGTCCGTGTACGGTGGCCTGCAGCTCATCTCTAGTCCCATCTGCGTGAGTAACGGGAATTGAATATTGTGGAAGGGAATAACACGCTAACTATTTTGTTGAGCAATGATTGGATCGTCGGTAATTTGTTATGATCTTGGATGGCTTCTCATTCAGACATTTTTTCCTACTGACTATTATGTACTCGTACACCGACGTGTCGTGACCTCTTCTAGCTTGCAGTAGCACTGCTATGTTGTGTCGTCGACTGTCATGCCCCTATCGGGTGTTGCCTCTAACTGTCCCACTTCTCAACACACTGCAGGGAAGCTTCAGCGACCAGTATGGCCGGGCTCGTGTGCTCATCATCTCGCTGCTGGCGTGTACGGTCAGCTACCTGACGCTAGCCTTCTCTGAGACCATCCTGCTGCTGGTCATATCGCGGGTTTTAGCAGGTGAGACTGATACTGCCTCTGTCAGCGGTACCGTGGCTTTCTGAACTAAAGCGTTTGCCTATCGTACGGTTACTACTGGTGCCATCTAACGACTCCCCTACCATGGGTGCCGTTAATGTCTATGCTCACAAAAATTTACGATAGTCTCAGTTCGTTTTTGCCTAAATCGGCTGAAATAATTTCAGAAATACTCAGTGTCAGAAATGCTTGGTCCCTTCTATTTTTTTGCGGCTTTTTAGCTTATTTCACTTGTTTGTTTGCTGCTTTTTATAGAAAGCGACATTTATTGAAATTTATCGAGCAAACTGTCTCATTCAAACCGTTGATGAGGATAAGTCATAAAATAAACTATTAGAAGTTGATTGACCTGTTACGCCTGATTATAGATATCTGGACGTTTTTCTTCTTTATGTTTCTCCGACTATCGATTTACCCCCTCCCCCATCTCCCTATCAGGCTAGGTAAAACACAGGTAGACCATGTGTCAGCGTGTCTAACCTCCCCACCTTCCACTCAGGTTCGTTCAACCATACACAAACGCTATATCAGTGTAACCTCTCCTAACCATGTGCCACCTCCCGCCCAGGCTCGTTCAAGCACACGCAGACCATGTGTCGGATGCTGCTGGTCGATCTGGAGCCGCCCTCGGAGCGGCAGCGCGTCATCGGGTGGTTCAACGCCATCTCCAGCATGGGCTTCATCGTGGGCCCGCCGATCGGCGGCCACCTGGCCGGCATGGACGACGGCTTCAGGCTCGTCACCCTCATCTGCGCCGGACTGTTTGCAACCATGTTCGGTGAGCTACGGGAAGTGAGGTGTATGAGCTGTTTTAAGTAACTATGTTTAAGTGTTTTTGCGACGCATTTTCATGTCCTAGCGGTGTTGGTCAGCTTCCTAGGCGTCGCATCATTGGGCATTCGCCGCTCATTTTCATCTCACAGTATTCAAGCGTCCCATGTGCTTGATCTGGCCAGCCTTCGTTTTGTTTAGTCGTAATCTGCGCCTCTTTGTCTCCGTCTAGCCTCAGCAGATCTTGAAAGTCACTACCTGACCCACACCTGACGGCTGACCTTGCTTGACCCGCCCATGTGACCCGCTCAACCCCCTTGTGACGCCATCTGTCCTCTCCCCCGCCAGTGCTGTCGTGTCTGCTGGTACGTGATGGACCGCGCGCGCAGCACCACGCCGCCGCCGCCGCCGTCGGTGAGTCCCTCACCTCATTCACCGATGTCGACTGGCTGCGTATCGGCGACCTGATGGTGGTGCGCTTCTTCTACGCCTTCTCCGTGCTCCTGTTCCGCGCCAACATGCCTTCGACGGCCGCCCGGCTGTTCGGTATGACGCCCGTGCAGTTCGGCTACCTCATGTCGATGCAGGGAGTGGTGAGCGCCGGTGCCGGCTTCCTCACCGGTCCTATAGAGCGGTTCTGCGGGGACCGTCTGACGGAACTGGCGCTCACCTCGGCTGTGTTCACGGCGGCTCTGACTGCAGCCAGCCTGGCGCCGAGTATCACCTGGCTAGCCCTGGCGCTGATACCGCTCTGCGCCTGCACGTCCTCACTGCGCGCGTGCGGCACGGCTCTGACCCTGGACCGCACGCCGGCGGCGCACCATGGCCTGGTAATGGGCGCGGGTCAGAACATCGCCTCCGTGGCGCGGCTGGCGGCGCCGCTGGCCGCTGGTGCCGCGCAGCAGCTGGTCAGTGATCGAGGACCGGGCCTGGTGGCCGCCGCGTGCGCCGCCATCGCGCTGGGAGTGGCCGTCTACATCCGTCAGACAGCACAGTCCAAACGGGAGAAACAGGAGTAGCCGGCTGGATGCGGGTGGTCGCTCGACAAAGGTGAGCTGACTGCCCAATATCACCGTGAAGAGTGGATACTGTGAGAGACGTGATACGATCAAAGGCGGGTATCTTATGCCGTCTTTTTGTCGCTCAGTATTTGGCCAAAGTTGACGGTGAGTCACATCTGATCTCACTGTGTTCGGCTGTGTGGGATGGCTGGTGGCTCGTAGTATTGGAGTTCAGTGTGTGAGAGTGTCGTTAAATTACCTACAAGGAAAAACGCCTATCGGCTATTGGCGCTCGTTCACCTTTATTCGGTACAGGGTTACGGCAAATTGCATTTAACTGCATAGCGCACAACTCCCTTTCGAGGAATGTGAAGGTGGAGATGGTATATTTAGGTATATGTTTTATATCCCATCCAAGGTATCTTGGCCTAGTGTGTGCTATCATTATATTTTTTAACTACTTGCTAAAATTTATACAGGGTAATTTCAGTTGTTCTCCAATCACTCCCTAGGGTGTCTTTTGCCAATGCATCAAATCATTTAAGGTCACATTATGTGCTTGTTATGGCGCCAACGGTCATTAAAGTGATTGGTATATTCTGTTAATTGTTATGTATATCGTTATGCTTTATTCAATGATATAAGTCAAATATTCTGACAGGCGCATCAAGTCATATTTTCCAGCTAAATACCCGCTGACTTTCAAAACTAGCCAGCATCGGTATTGAATCGCGATCTTTGTGAATACGCCTTTGTGGAAGTTCATAGTGGAACCTGCTAGGTGAAAGGCCTGTGTCAGGAATGACAGTTGAAACACATGGGCAGATTTGTTGCTTGTTGGGGATGGGACCATGAATACATTCTATTGCAGTGCATTTATTGTTTGAAGTCCATAGGCGTCGCCAGAGATTTTCGGTTGGGGGGGCAAAATCAACTTTTGTGTCAAAACTTGCCTTTCCCCAGTCTTAAATCACTCGTTTTACATATCATTCGACGCGCAATGGTGCGAGGAATCCCATGGTGACAAAGGTTTCCTTCTAGCTATGACATGTAATTTTTTAAAGAAAAATTCGAAATTTTGAAATTTCATAACAAAACGACTGGTAGAATTATAGTGGCTGCGATTGCCGACGCACTGCAGAGGGCCCCTGTGCAGACGCTCGACGCTCATGATCATTACCTACCGATTTAGAGGTGAAAAACGCTCCATTTGATCGGATCACCCTGCTAAAACCTCCATTCACGCATGCATGCAGAGGTTTTACGTGAAATGCATAGGACTTATCCCAGCCGCCGATCGTAGCTAAGTTGGGCATTCGGCGGAGAGTGAATGTGTGAAGTGTGAATCGGAAGTAATTCATCTTTGCTCCAGTGAGAGGAAGTGTTTTGTTCACTCGAGTGTGAACAAAAGTTTCTCGTTTTTCGTGTGAAGGGAAGCGCTGCAAACGTGAACAAAAACTGTTAAACAGAACCAAAAGTTACGCACGGCATAGCGGCAAGGGATCCCTTAGAGATAGGTTTGTGACTTCCAGGCCATTTCAGGCCACTCAGGGTCGGTGCTGACTCTCAGAAGCCTGCTTAGGATCCCGGAGATCGACGTGGGTCACCTCAAATATTTACGCGTACGTGGTGCTTTAGGGCTTTCCGAGCCCAAGGTGGGGTCCTCAGAAGCCAGTGTGGGCGGCGGGCGCTAAAGACTAGGCCCAGGGTGAGCCTGGAGCCCTTGGATAGCAGTGCGAACCCTCAGGGTCTATGTCGAATCCCTAAGGACCCTACGTAGGGACATAATAAACATGTGTTGCGGACCTCAGAGGGACACGTGAGCTGTGACCCCGCAGATGCCGGCTTGGGGTTGGCAAAGTCTGTCGCCTCAAAAATTTGGCTGAACTATCAGAGGCCAGTTAAGGTTCTCAGAAATGTTCGAAGGCTCAAAGATCCCTGTATGGGCCCTCAGAGAACATGGACACCAGTGGGGCTTTCAGAGGCCGGTTTGGGCCCTCTAAAAGCTTCTTTAGGGCTCAGTGGAGCTCCTTAGGAGCCTTTGTTTAAAGCAAGCTCATGAGCCCTGCGACACTTGTACGGTACTTGAGCCTGTCGCAGACATTTGACGAGAGTTGAGAAAGGCCCCGAAGATTTCGTTTCACGCTTTGAACGAAAATTGTGTCAGCACTCCAAAACTTATGAAAATTAGCTGTAAAATGTAATAAAGAACGAACTAGGAACATGTAATGAATCACATCATTGACATTTCCGAGTCTGGACTTGGAGTCTTGAAGATTTTGGCGACTGCGAGTCAGACTCTGGTTTGAACTGCACGCTCCAACCGAGTCTGACCTCACAGGCATTCTCAGAAAGGTACCGCCATTTTTTCCCGACTCCAAAATCTCATCGGATCTGTATCGATCTCAGGGGGTGCCCGGTCCGAGGTTGGGGGGGGGGGGGGGGCAAGCTGCCCCGCTTGCCCCCCCGTGGCGACGCTAATGGTTGAACTGTGAGGGGGGCTTAGGCCGGTCCTGTAGGCCCTTCGTTACCTCCCCTCCGGATATCTACGTTACTCTACATGACAAGTGGTAGGCCGGGACGTCTCCCAGCCATTACTCCGACTGCCACCCGGGCCACTGTCATCTACACTAATTGTACTAACTATGCATCGTGGTTCAGGTGAATAACTCCGCCATTTTGGGGCACACGCGGTTGGAAGCGTACCCTCATGGGTTTGGAGCTAAGCTCCTGAGCCGTGATGACTAAACTACAGTACCGAATGAATCAGACTCCGCTCAACCTCCGTTCTCCTCCGACTCAACCCGTCTCCAAATGCATCTGGTCAATTCTAAACCCATTTATTGTAAAAGCCGATCGATATAAAGGACTGCGTGAGTCAATATTTGAGACGACGATTATTTCCGTTTCCGCAAGTTTCTACCCTATCACTACCCTAACGGTTACCGACGCGCGAAACTACCTACGAACCTCCACCCCGGTGCTCCTATCCTAACTATGGGATGTGCTTTGAGCCCAGCATCAATCCCTGCGTGACAGGAACCTACCTCGAGCCAGGTGAGCCAGTAGCAGAGAGCAGTCGGGGGCTCGATGTCCGTACCGGACGGCAGTCCGACACCAAGGGCCCCGATCTCCTCTCCCCTGCTTTCGTCTCGTCCCTGGCCCGAGTAGGCCACGCCCACATCAGCCGCCTCGAGGCTAAAGATGGCGGCCGATGTGCCCGTGCGGTTCCCGCCGCGCTTGCCTCCTTCCCGACCCCTGCCTAAATATCCCACGCGTTCAATTTCAACAAAACCAAGGTAGCTAAACTAAAACGAACAATAACTCAACATCTCTAAACCGATACGGACGCTCTCCCACTCCCCTACATATTACCCCCCTCTCCGGCAGGGGGGAAAAATTCCCTTACTTTCCGGGAGAGGGGCGTTTGTGTCCATTCTACCGCGGCTGTGTGCGCCCTCGAGGCGGCGCGCCTCCGGGGTGTCGCGCGTGCCTCCTCAGCATTGCGCGGTATTTCTCGGCGGCTACTTCCACTTCTACTTCTACTTCTCTTTTCTTCTCTTCTCTTCTCTTCTTTCTTTGACGGCGATAGGCGCGCCTTCGCGCGGTGCGTGCTTCGCGGCTACATGTGCGCCTCCGCGGCGTCGCACATGCCTCCGCGGCGTTCCGTGCGCCTCCGCGGCTTCGCACTTGCCTCCGCGGCTTTGCGTGCGCCTCCGCGGCGTTACACGTGCCTCCGCGGCTTGCGTGCGCCTCCGCGGCGTCGCACGTGCCTCCGCGGCTTGCGTCATGCGTGCGCCTCCGCGGCGTGGCACGTGCCTCCGCGGCTTGCGTGTGCCTCCGCGGCGTCACACGTGCCTCCGCGGCTTGCGTGCGCCTCCGCGGCGTGGCACGTGCCTCCGCGGCTTGCGTGTGCCTCCGCGGCGTTACACGTGCCTCCGCGGCTTGCGTGCGCCTCCGCGGCGTCGCACGTGCCTCCGCGGCTTGCGTCATGCGTGCGCCTCCGCGGCGTGGCACGTGCCTCCGCGGCTTGCGTGGGCCTCCGCAGCGTTACACGTGCCTCCGCGGCTTGCGTGCGCCTCCGCGGCGTCGCACGTGCCTCCGCGGCTTGCGTCATGCGTGCGCCTCCGCGGCGTGGCACGTGCCTCCGCGGCTTGCGTGCGCCTCCGCGGCGTCGCACGTGCCTCCGCGGCTTGCGTCATGCGTGCGCCTCCGCGGCGTGGCACGTGCCTCCGCGGCTTGCGTGCGCCTCCGCGGCGGCTACCTCTACTTCTTCTCTTCTCATTTCTCGTTCCCGCGGCGGCTACCTCTACTTCTTCTCCGCGGCGGCTCTGCCCGGCGGAACCTTGGCCCGGCAGTTTGGATGGGCCCCATTTGGTGTCCGACGCAGCGTCGCACGGCGCTCTTCCCCGGCGCGGCTGTGGCAGCGGTGTGGCGGCGGTGTGGTGGCAGTCGGCGGCTCGGCTTCTGGGGCCTTTGCTTGCGATTTGTTCCCGTGCGGCATCCGCCCCGGCAATGTGCTTCTGGCGCCTTCCCTGGGCTTTCAGTGGGACGAACCTGGGGTAAGGCGCTGGGGCCACGGCGGAGGTTCGGACCCCCGTGGGCAGCGTGTGACGGCGGCTCCGAGTCTGACGTCACGGCGTGTGACACAGGCACGAAGGGCCCACAGACCCGACCGGGTGTTGCGGCACACGCCGGCCCTCCGGTGCCGCGCCTCACTTCGTGTTCTTGCCGTAGAACTTGCTGTTGCCGGAGGTAGATGATCAGATTGACGTTGATCCTCACCCTGCCGAACATTGCCATGACGGAGACGCCGCCGTACTGCTGCTGCAGCAGCTCCTGTAGGCTGACCTCCTCCCGCTCCAGCTGCACGCCGAGCAGTTTGGCGTTCGCCTGGAACGAGCCCTCGGCTGCCTGCGGCGAGATCTCGAACTGCACCCCTTCAGCTCTGCCGGTTGCATGCCCTCGATGCCTAGCACGCCCTTCTCCTTGAGCCGGGCGGCCGAGTAGCGGCGCGGCGCGGCCGCCCGCTTGGTGCGCTGGCCGGCCGCCGTTGCCTGCTAACACGTGTTCAGGTACTGGCTGACGTAGGCCGCCCGCTCCTGGTAGAAGGCGCGCTCCTTCTCCACCGAGTAGGCTGTGCGGCGCAACTCGACCAGCTCGTGGCGGCGCTGCTGCCGGTGTCGGTGGTGCGTTGGTCGAAGTGACAGCGCCCGCGCCGGGACTCTCCAGTGTCAGAGCGCCCGCGGCGACCGTCGTGGGGCGAAGGGATGGCGTTGCCTACCGGTCTTGGCGCTTACCGGCTCAGATGGCGCGCCGGTTGATGTTGAACTCGCTAGCCTTTGAGCGGTCACCGCCGAAGTCGTCCAGCGCCGAAGCGCTGTCTCCACGCCGCAGGGGTTCCACGGCGGGCCCGTCATCTGTCTGTGAAGGCACGACCTCATCGGGTGGCCTCCGGCGCCTTATGCCATCGCACGCAGTAGCAGACGCCTGACGTGAATGTCTGTTGGGGCCACTGTGCCGCGGGTAACCGCCGCTCTGCCAGCACACTTAAACGCCCCATCAACATCTCTTCCCATACCCCGTTCCCAACACACAAACACATACATACACAAATACTCGTACATTACACGCAAACCCAAAACACTCCTGCCCATATACACACACATCAAACTACAAGTACCGCATCTAAGTATTTCTTTTGCAAGGTCGGCTGACCGCCGTTGAGGAGCCGGTCACATTCGTCCTGCCTGCCCAATGTCCAGACGAATGTACAATATCAGGCTCCGCATACATACACTCATGCATACACTTACACACACAAACACATCTCACGCCTCTCATTACCCACGGTACACATTACACTAAATATCGT